TTGTCTTGCAATCCTTGTATTTGTAGGAAGTTCCAGGTGATCCTCTTTCCATGGTAGGCGTGCATTGTATCTCCCATCTTTGTATGTAATACATTCATTTTATTATTTCAAGATTTTACTGCTTGTTTCCTCACTCACTTTGTTTGGAAGATCTTCTACTTCCCAAAATTGAGCTAAGCTAGCATTTTCTTCATCATGTTGGCACAGTATTTTGTATACACCTGTGGTAGTTACTCTAGCATTTTCTTTGGTTGGCCCAGATAACAGGTATCCTAATTTTGATTTTACGGCAGTAGGTCCTTGGCATCTAATTATGTACAATATCCCAATAGTAATCGGCTCCAATGAGCATAGATATATTGAACTTGTCTTCACTGCAAACTGGATGTGCTAATTTTAATCCTTGTAAATATGGAAGAATTGAAGCTTTATAATGACAGTGGGTGTCGTGGGGGCTGCTATACTGGGAATAATCACTACTTCCATAGTAATTCTACTCCCATTCTGTGTTTCAAGTTCAAGTGTTGCATTGTTCAAATTGCGTATATTTCGTCTTGTATCTCCAAAGGTTGCGATACTAAGGTTTGTAATATCTGTAGTTTTCAGTTGAAGTTTTTGGGCAAGTTTTTCTGTAATGAAAGTCTTTTGTGAACCTTCATCTAGGAGTATGTTGGCAGATAGAGAAATGTTTTTTACCAAACTGGGGCAACTGCTGTTTTCAACAATACATTGTCACGGTTTCCTGTTACTGTTGATGACAAAGTATGCGAGTCTGATGAACTTCCTGGCTTGATCGTATCAATACTCTTGGTACTGGCAGTCGTTGTAGGGATTCTGGTTGGTTTGGTTGAGTTGTCTTCTTTCACCATTTTGTTTTTATCACACAGGCTTGTATGATGCTTCTTATGGCAGATTTTACATTTATTCCTTGATTTGCATTCACTGACGCGATGAGTACCTAGACAATTAAAACACAGTTTTTTTCCGTTTTACTATTGTCAATCGAGTTGACGGTTCTGTAATATGTTTACAGTGCATCGGTGCATGCATTTGGTCACAGAAAATGCATTGTTTAGTTGCATTACTTGGAATCAACTTCTTTGTTATATCATGTGGTCTTGCTCCAGCTACAAAAGACATCGTCGTAGGAAAATTCTTCATAGTGTCAATTTCATCTCCTATCCCATATTATTGATTTCATTCATCAAACATTTGCGCAGGTCTTGTAATTTCCAAGTACTTACTCTGTGTGACCGTAAGAGATTCTTTTTTTTATTTCACCTGGTAGTTTATTCATGATGATAGGGACGGGTAATGTACAGTAAGAATCTTGTGATTGGCCCATGGCTTCCAGTCCTCTAACGTAAGCCTCCATTTTGTCATAAAAGTTACGCAGATTAACAGTTTGGTTTCTAGGTGATGGGATATCTAATAATGCTTGCATATAGGTATTTAAAATTTTGTCAGGTTGACCAAATCTCTCTCTCAAAATGATGATGGTTTCTACATAATTGGCACTTGTAAGAGCAAACCCCGCAATTGATTGCAATGCATCAGCGTCCAACTGTGCCCTTAGATAGTTGAATTTTTGTACATTTGTTAGGGTAGGATTCAAACGTATGGCAGATTCATACTGATCCCAAAAGGTTAGCCATTCCAACAAATTTCCACTGAAAATGGGTAATGTTAGTTTTGGTAACCGATGATATACTGATGCATTTGATAGAGAACTCATGTCGGGATTATTGATCTGCGATGAGGCATTATTGACATAACTCATAGATGGAATATTTCCGGTTAAGGCATTTTGCATAGAAGAAGGCGTAAATGATGGGGTTTCAGCATTCAAAGTTTTATCTGGATAAGCATCAATCTTTTGAGTATCAGAAACATGCAAATTGTCAATAGCGTTCTTGAAATGACGACGTTTTGTACCAAAATTGTTGGAATACTCATCTGTGTCCACCATTTCCTTTTCAATGTCCTCTTCCTCTATTAACTCTAATACCTGGTCTTGCAGTTTTTGTAGCACTTCTTTCTTCTGTTATAGATTATTGTAAGTTGATTTCAGTTCTTCACTGTCGAAGTCAGAATTTTCCTTTGCATCCTCAAGTTTCTGAGAAGGTTTCGTCACAACAGTCCTATTTCCTGCACGCATTTACTTCAATTTTAATAAATTCATCTTGTCCTTCTTCTTTCGGTCACGGCACCAAATATCAAGAATGTTGTGAGTTGGTAACTCGAAGATATGAAAAACACTTCTGCTCTGTTTAGTGTTTATTTGAACTCTGATCTAAACTGAAGAAAAAAGGTTATTCACCTGACGTTGTGGTAACGTATATGACATCCTGCTATTATGACATCATAGTACGGCATACAAAACATAACGTTAGTGTGTATAGATTGACATTACACAAAGTAGAATAATTAAACTGTCAAGAGTTTCACGACAACTTTCGTTATGAAATATTGAATATAATTATACATGTATGATTGAATGATTCCCATCTCTCTGATTGGCTGAGATCCAACAATGTTAGAAAAAACACTACGTTATATTCGCCTTCCAGGTGAATATTTCTCTACATTAGACTAAAAATAGATTGGGAAATTCCAAAATATTTTCTTAAATTTGCATTTTGCCCAGTTTTAAAGAAACCATTCATGATATTTTTATAACTTCAAAAGCTAATGCATTCTGATGTAATTTATTCAACTGCATCAACATTTTTGACCTTGACCTCACTTTTCTCAAATTAGTGTTTGGCTCAGTTTTAAAGAAACCATTTAAGATATTTTTATCAAACTAAATATGCTGATACGTATTAGTGAGAGCTATTCAACTGTATTAAAAACTTTTGACCTTGCATTTTTCTGTAAACGTGACCTCACTCTTCTTTAATTTGCGTTTTGCTTAGTTTTAAAGAGAGCTATTCAACTGTATCAAAAACTTTTGACCTTGCATTTTTCTGTTACCTTGACCTCACTTTTCTTTAATTTGCGTTTTGCTTAGTTTCAAAGAAACCATGCATTTAAGATATTTTTATGTAAGCTTATGTACTTATTATGGTGACATATTTCTGCCCCCTACATGCAAGATAAATTATGTTAACATGCAAGAAAAGTATGTCAACATGCAAGATAATTATGTCAACATGCAAGATAATTATGTCAACATGCAAAATAATTATGTTAACATGCAAGTTACCAATCTTTTTTGAGAATCTAATTTTATTTTGGTAAAATTACTTACTAACGCCAGTATACATCATACAAGCAAGCTGCAACAGAATTATGTTGACAAGCGACTTATTTATGTTAACATGCAACATGATGATTATGTAGACATGCGACTTATTTATGTCAACATGTAAGATAATTATGTTAACATGCAATTTACTAATGTTAACATGCGACTTATTTAGGTCAACATGGAAGATAATAAGTTGCATTTTAACAAACATATCTCGCATGCTGATTTACATAATTAACTCTCATGTAAACATAATTATCTTGCATGTTGACATTAATAAGTTGAATATCTACATAATTATCTTGCATGTTGACATAAATAAATCGTATCTCAACATAATTATCTAGCATGTTAACATAAATAAGTCGCATGTAAACATAATCCCGTTGTATCTTGCTTGTGTGATGTCATATAATGGCGTTAGTAAGTAAGTTTACCAATATCAAAATTGGATTCTCTAAAGAGATTGGTAACTTGCGTGCCAACATAATTATTTTGCATGTTGACATAAATAAGTCGCATGTCTACATTATTATATGTTGCAAGTTAACATATTTTATCTTGCATGTAGGGGGCAGAAATATGCCACCATAACTTATACATAATTTGGTGAGAATTTATCATCTATATTCATTTTTTTTTCAATTTCAGTTTTAAAGAAACTATTCAAGATATTCTCATCAAACTTCATGCACTAATACAAATTTTCATGTTGCATTACTAATATACACTCGGCGGGGCATTCATGTCCTGTGGACATACATGTACTTCTAGTTCAGAACAAAATGAAGATTTTGACTTAATGTATGTCGCTCTTATGCTTTTGAGAAAAATTTGGTCAGAACGTCTAACTGTAAAATATTTCAATTCGTGCAGTATTAAAAAAAAAAGTTTGATTATGAGGATGTTTCTACGTATTAGCAATCATTCACTTCAACATCTAAAAAAAAAATTGCGAACTACTAACGAGTCTCCATATGAAGTTTTATCATGAGAAAGTTTAATTTTTTGTTTATACATCATTTAGTATTTTATAGTTAACATGTTTCATATCTAAGGAGAGTTAGATTGTTTACTAAGAAAATTAATTAAATATGGGCGCTGATTTAAAAATTGATAAGTTTTTATTGTACAATGTAATAAATATTTTAATTTAACTTTTTCAATTTCCTGTGTTCCTTTTCTAGCTTACTGTTCACTGTAAGTAAATTTCTAATTACAAGGAAAATCGTTGAAACAGTGAAGTATTTATTATGTTGGCTTTAGTAATTAGAATTGAACCTCTCTCTTCATATACTGTACAAATATTTATTTGGCAATTTAATTTCTTTTAACAGAATTTTTTTTCCTTGAAATTACAGAAAATGTGCTTATCCTGCGAAAAATAGGAGTTACCTCTCTTTTCGTAATTATGGGTATACAATGCTGTTCTTGAAACAATCAAAATGCGGGATGAAACTTTTGTGTGTGTGTGTTAAATTTTTTTTTGATTTTTAGAAAAAAAAGTAAACACCCTCCAGTCTCTTCAATTAAGTCAATCATAAGTAAAAAATACAATGGTATCGAAAAGGCACGTGGATTTGCATTGAACTTGACGTAAACAGAAAATTGTGCCTGGTTAACCAATACAATACTGGGGACCCGCGAAAGGGCCGCTGATTTTTGTTGCGAACATCTTCCGCATATATATACACCGTATAACTATTGGGAAAAACGGTTTTACTCTCTCTGTTACAAATAACAGAAGATAATTACGGTAAATAATGAGTTTTGCATAAAATACAAGTCGTCCTTTGGAATGGTTTAGGCCTTAGGTTATAAAAGAGAGAATCGAGAGTTTAATGAGGTATCGTCCGTTTTACCTGTTATAGTGTATATATAGAGATGTAGATCTGTTTCAATATTGTCGGATTGCGGTAAAATCAAGAGACGCGTCATAACGGTAATATATGAGATTTGTATAATAGTTGATAGTTGTGATGATACTTGTTATCATGTGATAAGCCCGCTATTTATGGTGTATTGAGATGCTGTGCGGTCTGCATGTCTCTCCGTTATAATGCGATAACACATAGATAGTGGACAGGGGTTGGGGTTACTGTCTCAGTTACCCAAGCTTGTACAACATTGCTCTACGCCCTCCGTTTGCTCCGTCGTCAATGAAAATTGAGTGGACGTTGCAGTCCTCGGAATGGAAAAAAATGACACCAAGCGGGTAAGGTGTTCAGGAATCTTTCTCGAAGATGTCCGGGATATTGACACAGTCCGGGAGTGTAAGAAACAGGCCTGTTGGAGATCCAAGAAAAAAAGCGCTAAATTACTGTGTCTAGCGCTTCTGTATGTAGGATTTGTTGTGTGTAATGTTCTAACTCGGGTGTACAACGAAATCCAGAAACAGGAAGTGGATGGATACGATAAGGTCATACGGGTCAAGAGAAATGCCGAAATTGATGTCCGGAAAATTAATGGATCTCTGGGACAAGGTAATTTTTGAAAAAAAAAATTATTTAACCTTTACTTGTTGAAGTCAGATCAAAGCACGAACTAGCAAAACTTGATAATTTAAAAAAAAAAAAAAAATTATGCCTGCATAACCGAACAAATTATTACGTTGTGGGAGTACCCCGTTAGTATTTAATATAGGTCGTTTCTGACATTTACTGATCTTGCTGTAAATGATACAAAATAAAAAAAATAATAATATACCAGTTATATACCAGTTTTGAATATTATTGAAAACTTTTCATTTATTATTTTTTTTTTTTTGGTTGCGTGAGCTTTATTTATTTATTTTTTTTTTTCGATTCTACATCCATAATATCGGAAACACATGGTAAAGAATACGTTGGAATTATGCATATGTTTGAATTTGTAGCAGCTGTTAGCTTCTTGTTATCAAGAAAAACACTGTGTGTCCATGTTTGAAAATGTTTACAAGTCTCATAAATGATAATAAAACTAGGATTGCCACTGACACTATTACTAAGCTCGCTAATTATAAAGCCTCTTTCTTCTCCAGTCTTAAACAATGACCCTTTAATTAATGTAACACTGATTTATCGGTATTTTCACTATGATAGAGCTGGTTTAATTCATCTAAGTAGATATGCATAAACGTTACAAATACATTAAAAGGATATGTAAGGGAAATTTAACGAAACGCAGGGTCACTTAGTGTCCATGAAAGATTTGAAAGCTTAGAGAATTTAAAGTGTCAGTCAAACGTGATTTAAATCACAGCTTTACAATAGAGATTGTGGAGTGTCCTTTACGAGAACTCTAAAACGAGAGAGAGAGAGAGAGTCTCAGAGAGAGAGAGAGAGAGAGAGAGAGAGAGAGAGAGGTACATATCAAGGGAAAAACAAAATAAAGTGTCAGTTTTAATTTAGTGCATAAGTTCGCGATAAAGGCTTTTTATCAGTATTTTTCTATATTTAATTATGAACTATGACGTCAGCCCTGATATCTGAGGTTGGTTTCTGTTAGATGGTTATCATTTGATTTACAAAGCCTGTTCATTTAAGCTTTACATAACACGAAGAAATAAAGTTTTCTAACTTTAACTCTATTGTCTATATTCACATTGAAAGCCTTTTCATTTTTTTAAAACAAAAAATATGTAAAACCAAACGTCTTTTAATTATTGCAGAAATTAATATAATGCACGTAATTATGATAAATATGTTTTAATTATGTCAAAAAGGAGCCTGTGAAACACTCCCTGACCAGGATTTTAAATTAAATCATAATTGTTGGTTCACGTCCATCAATAGCTCTCTCTCTCTTTCTTTCCCCCCCTTCTCTCTCTCAGATTTCTTGGAGGCGCTGTTGAGTCGATCAGGTTAAACACATTACTTGTCCCCATCCGTCTCAATACCAGGTTGTTCAGACCACTGACGTCATTGAACCCACTGTAATCTTAAAACATCAATGATCTAATTCTGGCCATTACGAATTGACCGTCCTCGAGTCTATTTGATTCTTCAGAAATATATTGATTTTTTACATGTATTCTGGGGGTGTGCATTAAATGGATAACCCAAAATAATTACTTAGCATTTGAATATCTATCAAAGGATAGGAAACCTAAAATTTTTAAATTACTGAACAAGGATATGCGCTTGTCAATGTGCCCAATGAAAAATTGATGGCGCCTTCCACATGCACTGTACACTATTAAAGATGGCTATGGAGCTAGGGTTATATTTATCCAGTAATGAACTTAATAAAATCATGCAGAACGTTATGTTAAAGTAGCACAAAATTCAAATCTGCAAGATATAGTCCACGTGCCATTGATTACTTACAAATTGATGTTAATGTTTTTACCAATCAGTCAATATTTTTGCGACGAAAATAACTGAATTAAAACACAGCTTTGTAATCTGAGTTTTAGGCGTTTCATTGGTTGAATGTTTTAATTAATACATTTACGATCTACTGATACAAAGGCTGTGCACATGCTTGCCCCTTGCGATTTATATACCTTTTGAACCTAAATTTAAGCATTGCTTATAAACTTGACAAAAAACATCTTTTTAAACAAAATAACGTTATTATATGCATGTATAATGCATAATTTTTAAGGGGGTGGGGGTGGAGGTTATTTTAGAAGTATTTAATAAGACATTGATATTGCATTTGCTGCGACGATTTTTTTTTTCTAATCACAATGTGCCTTAACGTTTCTAAACTCGGGCTACAATGCCTTTGATTAGTACTTGTAGATACAGAACACGCTCCGTGTTAAAAAATTAACAGAGAAGGAATTATTTATAGGGATCGATTAGATTTGTCTTATTTAGAGCAAAAGTACTCTGAATTGGCCCTTACTCTTTTTTTTAAGAACATGAAATTATAACGAAACATTGCTTGATAAAGATTATAACGGCACGTTACTTGAAGGTGAAAGAGTAAAATGATATTGATATATGATATATACTTTGCATTCCTACGGTGATTATAACTGTGAAATAACAGTGAAGTTTAATATTAAATCACGATGCTTATTGGTCACGTCCAGTCTTGAGTAAGATCACGTGATAATTGGGGATGTAACAAGAGTACAATGTACTTTATTATGTTGGTCAAAATAAGGCGTAAGTTCGTATATAAGTCAACAATGTATTTCGAATATAAAAAGTAACTAATATATTGGCACTCTGTTTTGAAACACATAACAGTGTTAAAATGTATATGTACTGTACATGCTGTTGCTACAAAAAAGATCAACCTCTTTATATTAGTTTCATTAAATGTTTAAATTTTATTTGAAACTTATTTAAAACTATCTAGATAGATATAGATAAAATGAAATTGAGATTAATTTTTAATGAAACATATTTGAAGAAAATTTCTATGATGAGCCCCTATAAACCTGTGATTATAGGAATCGACTAAGTTACCGCGAAAGTCAACACTAAGTGAATCAGGCGACCTAAAATCTGATCAAAGATCCGTACATTAAACGAAGAAGTTTGCTTAATTATTATTTATTATTATTTACTCGATAAAATATTGATTGTTCTATGAAGTTAAGATCATGTTCTCATTTCTTATCACGTACAACTTGCTTGCTGGACTCATCCGTAATGTTCGTATAAATTAAACAAAAAATGTTGGAAGTTTTTGTACAATTATTTTTCGCATGAAACTTTTACAATCATAATTTTCTGGCGAAGATCGTAATTCTAAAAGCTAAATGGAATGCGTGATAACTTTAAGAAATTCTGCTCGCGTTAAAAACCATTATTATTAAGAATGTTCTTAAAGTTTGCTCCAATTAGTTTAACATCCTTCATACTCTAATGAATATCTTGACACGCAACTCTCGCTATCTGAACGATTTCAATAATTGATTGTTCTATTCCAAGAAGTTCACTTATTTCCAAACGCTTTCTGAATCTAAAACAAAGGCCGATCAACTTTAAGAAGTTACCAAACTGTGTTATAATTAAATAATTAAAATTCTTTCATTCCTTTCTTTAAATAACTACCACACCAATTTAACAACTAAAAACTAATATCATGTTGAAAGTATTTCAAGTACGCAAAAATTCCCATAATTCAACGTAATATACATGCATCTCATGAGATGTTGGAATATTCTGAAAGGGTGGGACTTTTTTGATTTTCGTTTTTAAGCATACATCTTTATTGTACCGTATAAACTTTTTTCAAATACATTATATGTACATGTATAATACAATATGAAAAGTAACATGCATTAATTTTATTACTTGTAGTAGAAGCCATTTACATTGTTGAAAAATTATAACAATTGTTCGTTGCTTGTGTTTATGGGTAACTTACAACAATTTAAAATTTGGATTGAATTTGTAATTAAATTGTCGCAAAATAAAAATTTTAAAATTAAGGAACTCAATTTAAGAAATATTAATGTTCTGTATTATGTATGTTTAAAGATACTTTTTTTCACTTCAGATTCACAAAATGATTCAGAACATGAGAAGTGTACACCACGCTCAGTGGAGGAGTTTCCAGGAAATTTTATGTCTTTCGAGGAAACTCGGGATGGGGGCGTGTTCGCTCATATTTTGATTGTACTGTACGTGTTCGGAGCCTTAGCCATTGTGTGTGACGACTACTTCTGTGCTTCTTTGGAAATTATATGTGACGGTGAGATCGTGTAAAAAGTTTACCTTAATTTAAAATATTTTTTATTTTTAAAACAAAGCATATTTTGTGACTAGATTTCAGCCATCCACATGGTGTTTATTTTTTGGGTTCATATGTTCTTGAACCCTTGGGAGTTCAAGTTACTAAAGTTTCATTTCCGGAATTTTGCATAGCATTTCCGACATTTTTTTGAAGGGGGGGGGGGGGGGTTCATCTCCGACATTTTTTATTTTCATTCACGACATTTATTTTGTTACATTTCAGGATTTTTTTCTGGGGTACCTTTTTTCAATTTAATGTTTACCAAGTAGGTGGAAAGAGAATTTTAACATGATATAAATGTTACATTTCTTTCAAACCACATTTTCCGAATAAAAACATTGCAATATACTGTATATACATGCATCACTAAGTCTAGTTAAAAGTTTTGAATGAGTTAAATGAGCATGCAATTTTTCTTCACCAAATTTAATGTCCATTGAAATATATATTAGTGACTGCACTCAAAAAGAGAATTCCCTCAACATGTACATGTAAGTTTCTTTAAAAGCTAAGCAAAATCATTTGGATATCAATGATTTATTCTTTAAAAATTTTTATAAGTGAAGTATCAATTCTGTTTTCATTGCCGAAAAAAGTACTATATGATAAAAGTATGAAAATAAAGTTTCGGAAATGAAAACTACAAAATGTCGGAAATGAAAAGTTAAATAGTTTTAAAAATACCGGAAATGAAATGCAGCCAGTCTTAAATAAAAATTTTTATTTTGAAGAATTTTCTATACTTTTATACATTTCAACACTGTGGTCACACATGACTTGTATCTCTAGTAATCTTGCTGAAAAAGTAGTTACACCTGTAATAATAAAACAAGAAAAAGAGAGATAGTGTACACCTACAGTCTTTGTAAAAATCTAAATTACTTCAAATTAAGTAAATACAGTATAATAATCAACAAAGATTTCATTCTTCCAAGATTATACTAGACAATTCCACAAACAATAATAAATTTGAGATGATAGACAAGGCTTGTTAGAAGAGAATGATAGATATATGAGTATAGACAAGATATACGATCTTTCATTATCAGATAGGATAGTTTGTGTCCGGCCCTCGCGTGGACAATGGTTAACCAGGAATGGCGGAGGAATATTGCTTTGTGTCTTCGTGATGTGATATCGCTGCCTATTCCGGCCTATCGTGCTATTTATTTTACTATTAAAGTATTCATGGTCATTTCCTACAGACATCTTTAAGTTTTCAATGATTTTCCAACTTTTGATTTTTATTTCTATTAAGAGACGAAATTTAGCCACGCAGGAATTCTAATAAAAATCCAAAGAATTTCAATAATCTGCATGTGTAGTTGAAAATTGCAATTTTTATGTGCAATATATGTTTATTTCAAGACCTCTTTGAATTACGTAAGTACCTGCAAGAGCATTTGATTACATCTACTTAATCATACATTTGATCTCATACATGTGGTAGATACTACCCATGCTTCATCCGGTATGCTTTATTCTTCTGCACTTCCGGATTCATGATTCCTCGGTCCTTATTTTTGTTCTGTAGTATTACAACTTCCAGTCAGAAGTTTGTATAAAAAAATCTCAGATATTTACATACGTTTAAAAAAAGACGCAGCAGATACTATTCCAAGAGTTCAACATGTTTTAGATAGACATAATTAATATACAAATAACTTTCTTTCATATTTAGATATTTTACTAGAAAATACGTTAATGGTAACCTAACATCAAAGCTTTATGCTAAACGTGATGACTTCAACTTTTCAATCGTCAACTTCCCTTACTTATGTAGAAATATATCTTATCACCTGCTTATGGGGTCAATTTATGTCACTCAGTTGATTTGATGGGCAAGACCATGCTATACGTATGAACGATTTCTAAAACAAAGCAAGCTATTGACAAACAAGTTGAGGAAACAAGGATATCAACAGTCTCGTTTGACGTCATCATTTTGCAAGTTTTATGGTCGACACAATGACCTTGTCAGCACATACAACCTATCATTGAGTCAAATTCTGACTGATGTTTTTCATACTAATTTATAGGCCATTATTTATACACTGAACTGTCTACGGATTTTTCCTTTTTTTTTACCGATTAGGACAAGGAGCACACGGCGGGTGTGACTGGTCGGCAGGGGATGCTCACTCCTCCATGACACCTGATCCCACCATTTAATTTTGAGGTCCGTGTTTGCTCTGCTCCCAATTTGTATTGTATCATTGGACTAACGAGATTGAGTACTGTTCGTTATCTTCATATATGATTACATTTCTTTCGGAATGTCAACAGGACTACGTCATCAAATTGCACGTCATGATTCGGGCAGATATCATGCAACATAGTTTTATAAGGATTATCTCAAGTTTTTGTAAGAAAACTAAAATTGTATGAGATAAATAGAACATCTATGATTGTGTGATAGTATGTTTCCTTTATCCAACGAGTTAAAATGGTGTATATACGTTGGGCAAGCATGGCGAATAAACAGCATTTCAATTCCTTGGTAAAAAATAAATTCACACAATATAGATACCCTTTATATATTATATAAAAATAAAACTTTAAACTGTAAAACGTTAAATGTGCTTGTAGATAAATCCTTTTTCACAGAACACTCATATATGCCTGTATTTTTTTTTCTAAGATATATTGTACGTGTATGTAAAAATTGAAACTAGATAAACCTCCTTTGATTATACATGTAAAAAGTTAAAATACCAGTGATTGATTTTCAAATTATTTATTATGCGACTGTTGTTTGTCTAAAGACTTTTTGAAAAACATCATTATTCAAACCTGATTCCTAGTTAAAACGGAATGATTCCGAGAGGGCGTATGGGTTTTATCAAACGATTCAGAGCATAATATAAACAAATGCAGGTGACAAAATAATTCGAGCAACATCATCTATTTTTAAGTTCTTGATTTAAATCTTCAAACGTGATCACGCTGCAACTCATAAAATGAATCACTGTGCAGTAAACACATAACACACGCTGAATATTGATAAACCACGGAGTCACAACTGAACAGAGAGTTAATTCCCGGGTTAACCAACGCTTGGCCCTCCGAACAATGACAGTGTAGAAATAAATTAACGGATTGTGATGATGAACTGTGAATTATTGTGTGGACAAATCTGAACTGACAGACAGAAATATATATTTCCACTGGTTAATCATCCTTAAGTCTTTACAAATAAAGCTTGGTAAATTAAGGTGTATTGGGACACAATTTTTAAGCAAACTCAATGAAAATTCATAATTCATAATTCATTGTATTTTAAACTGTCATTTTCAATAAAAAATGAAGGTCATGTATATGTGACCGTGTAGATTTAGACGGCACTTAGGAATTCGTCTGGAACTGCATCCGTTGTCTGCAGAACGAACGGGGTGAGGGAATGTTGGCGTAGGGGGGTACGAGGTATAGGTAGAGGCGCTGTGTGGCCGTGAGGTAAAAACAAAGTATAGGTCTGCCGTATTCCAGAAGGTCCACCAATATGCAATTCCAGAGTTAAAACAAATGATGAAGGATTCCGTATTTATTAGATGAGTCTCAACGATGGCAACAGTTTACATGAATCAACAAACAGACATATTATAAATGATCGAGTCGGATCTAGCCGAAGTGACCCCGGACTCAGAGTCCTGACGAGTCGGACGTGGCCGAGACTGGCCTTCGTTTTTTCCAGACTAAGGATTGAAATTATATATGACTATTTATAAGAATGTACATAATGAGTAAAAAGGTGACAGGTGTTGACATCAAGTGAAATGAGTGAAAGATTCACGGGTATGGAGTAATTAAGTATACATAATGACTCTTTGATGTTTGGAAATGAAAAACAGATAATTACACAATGTTGTTATATAAGAGATTAGCAGTTCTTGAGACATAGCACTCTGTCTCTTTGTAACAACAGATCAAGAGTCCGAAAAGGTTCACTGGTCAATTAAACAATTAGATTTGCAAAACATATCGTGAGAAATAAAATATGACACAACTTAAAAATTGAAAAGTAAAGTCCAAAATAAAGTTCTTTCTTGAACAGTGAATTTTTCACTGTGATAATTTCCCCTAAAACTTTAATGTAACATATATATAAAGAAGAAGGTACGGTTTTAGCTTTATTGTGCCCTAAAAATTTAATGTTTTCAAAAAGTTTTGAAACTGGCTTAAACATAAGTTGAGTATATGATAGTGATAAATCAGGAAAGAATATAGCATGAAGGAGTACCATTCTGGAAATATGACGTCATTAATTTGATGCATTTCTCTATTTTAAACAGGAAAAGCCTCAAACTGACCCATTTCAAGGGTGATTTTCCTTAAGAAAATAGTGTCCACAGCCGTCGCCCACTTTTATTTTCGGATATGTTGTGTAAAATTTTTGGAAAAATCATATATCTCAAAATCTTTGTGGGCGATACCTGTGGACAATATCATCTGAGAGAAAATTCCATTGAAAATTGGTGTCTTCTGCAACTTTTAAAGAATATACGGGAAAATGCACAAGTTTATGACGTCACAATTAGCATTTAGAAGGTCATGTGAGAAAAATGATTTGTATGATCTTTCTGCATGTAATATCAACGATTCAGAAAGCATGAGTTTTAATTTTTTTTTTACATCTCTTTCATTTTTTAGAAAAACACAGGGCAAGATTTGTATTGAAACCATTGTCCATCTCACAAAAAAGGAAATGTACCAATATTGCCCACAGTCTCTTAAAAAACGGTTTTCCGTTCTTCTTTTCTTGTCTTCTAGACAACTTCTTTAAAATGATATTAAATTGAATTTAGGTTTCGGGGTTACTTTTGAATGATTTCAAATTGAATTCTACAAAAATTCTTCTTTTTCTACATAATTCTATTATAGCCATAAAGTACGGGAGAAAATTAAGTTTAATTCAATTATGACGTCATAATGAATCTAGCACCAAAAGGTAAGTCTAAATTTATTAACTAGAGAACCGGTCACGGTAGCCTAGTGGAAGGGTGTTCTCTTTGTGATCGGGAGGCCCGGGTTCAGTTCTCGTTCGCCGCGCCGCGTCAAACCTAAGACGTAAACATAGGTAGTTACTGTTCCTTCGCCAAGCGCCCGGCATTAGAAGTGCTTTCGGATGAGATCTTAAAACCGTGGTCCCGTGTCGCGGTGGACGTTGGCACCATAAAGAAACCTCACTGCTCAATAGCCCTGAGTGCCGAGTAAAGATCTAACTTTGAAGCCCTTCACCGGTGCATGTATATGGTGACGTCTCTATACGAGTGAAAATTCTCGAATGGGACGTTAAACAACATACAATCAATCATTAACTAGATCTTGACTTTAGACAATAAAATATAACAGCATTAACACTACAATAACAGTGACATAATGTGTAACAATACAATAATGTTAATATATATCACACAGCATTAACAATACAATAACAGTGACATAATGTGTCACAATACAATAACGTTAATATAGCATAACACTATTAGATAGACGGCGGAATAATGTATTTCTTTGCGTTAACGGGGATGAGCGGTTTCAGCATTGCAGACAAAAATATACCACTCGAGTAAGATGGTTATGTAATTTTCCCGCAAAAATTGTGGCACTTCATAGCATATTTTGTATCTGTATAAATTATTTATATAAAGTAGGCGAAGGTAAAATATATATAATCAGTGTGTACGTTACATTGATGATAGGTCATGAAGCGGTTGACCTCAGACACTTGTCAAAACTGTGTAAAAAGAACCGGATTTAATCATAGTAGTTTATAAGTTATGTTTATTGATTGAAGTACAAAATCTGTTTTTCTAAGTATTCAGTGGATGTAAATACATGTAATATTTACACAAAAATATAAAAATGAAAATTATTGATGTCAATAAAATCATGCATTTTGCCGAACCCTAAAATCAAGTTGTTTGGCTCTGGCCGAACGGTCTCACCTGGCAAATACCTTGGTTCTTGGGTCCGACATAGCGCATATTGCCCTCGAACCCTGGCAATAAATCAGTTTTCTGCTACAATTTTAAAGTACATTTATCCGTTGAATAACCTTGAGTACATTTATGCTACAATTTCAAAGAACATTAACTATATATGTAATAACGTCATGATCATGAAATACTGGTAAAATAACCGTGCCATAATATACAGTTATGGTCTCTTTTGGTGGTGAATATGGTTTGATATTCACCGGAAATATCAATCATATGTGACCATACCAAAGGAGTCCATAATTGTTTATTATATAGTCCGGATTCGAATGAATAAGACATTGAGACTGCATGACGACACCTTTTTCATTAACGAATTTCTGTTGCAGAAAAAAAATGTCCAGTTACAATTGCAAGTTATACCTTCTGTGTTTCCCTATCGTGGTGTGTAAGACATCATTTCCCGTCGAAATGTTCGGATAATAATTCGGCGATAGTCTTGCCTAACGTTTTCCTGCTCAGATACACAGCTGGCTCCAACCGTTGCAACCATTGTTTACAACGTTACTTTTAAGTGTCGTGACATCAAAATCAACGTTGCACGTAATATCAAATAGAAATTCAATTTATTTAGCATTTTTATACATTTACCTTTTACTTTTATTTTTTTTTTATAAATCAAAAAAAAAATAAATAAATAAATAAATAAATAAATAAATAAATAAATAAATTCAAATAAATTAATTTTTTTTAAAAAAATCTGGTCTTCTGGTACCCTTTTTCGAAATTGAGAATCAAATATTAGCCGCACCTATTGGCGTCTTGCGATCGCATTATGACAGAATAACCCCCGATTTACTTCTGTGGCTAATAAAATAAACATTCATTTGGCAAAAGCAAAATTTAATATTGATGAGTGCATTTGAATAAATTATATGGATATATCGGAGGACACACTGCCCTGTTTAATTCCAAAGCAGTGAAGATCCAATTGAAGTGCGATCTAAAGAAATGATTTGATTTACTAGTTTTATAAGAAATCTAATTCAATTCTACAAAACGGAAAAAAACTGTAATTGTATTTACGGTGAATTATTCCTGCTTTCATTACTGGGTTTTATTATGTGACTAATTATACAGGCTTTGGGGTTCGTTCCACCTAAAGAATTAGATGTAGCACGTAATGAAATTCTCAATATGTACCGGTACATGTAATTTTGGGGGGTTCGTTCCACCTATAGAATTAGTTGTAGCACGTAATGAAATTATTTAATATGTACAGTCATGTAATTTTTGGTTTCAGAGTTGAGTCTACAGGAAGACGTCGCAGGTGCTACATTTATGGCGGCTGGGAGCTCGGCTCCAGAGTTTTTCACGGCTTTAATAGGTACAGATTTAATTAACTGAACCAATTAGCTGCAAGAAATTGCTCAGAATCATACAGTAAAACACGGTTACAGCGAAGACGATTAGAATGGATAAACGCTTTCAGCTTAGACACATATACATAATTTAGTGAACCAAATAGCATGCTGCAAGACGTTGCACAGAATCTGATACATAATGCAACTTGGAATTCTGATTACAATGTATCTGTCTTCTTCAAAATAGTCTATTTTTAAGCAACACATCAGGATTTGCATCATTGATCTATAACTTTGGTACAGAACAAACATCACCAATTAATATCGATAATTTGATGCAAAGTTTTTAGAGCTGTTTTTATTTTACCATTTTTATCAAAAAATCACAAAGCTGACACAAACTTGATACACTTGATACAAAAGTTAATCAACTTTCTTAATGATAACCTTATTTCATTGTGTTTTCGTGAATCTGATTGCTCAATCGTAAATATTATTCTTCGCGAACTTTCATGTCCACAAATAGCGTATACAAGTAAGTGGGCTTTGATAGAACTAGGCTATGTTATAAACAATAAAAGGAAACTCTCCTTAGAGTTCTTAATTTTCAATAAAGACTCGTTTTCCTCCAGACATCAATATTTTGCTCTATATATTTATATATTGTCAATTATCACTTTCTCCATGCGACTGTCTCTTGGTCGTGATTAGTGCCTCTGAACAATAATTACATGTGGCTGAACGAACGTGAACAAATTACATGTGCATTTAGATTTCTTGGATGATTTTATCGGATTAGTTGACAAATGTGAGAAAACGTGATTTTCAATCTAGGTCCAGACTGTTATATATATAAAGTATAATATTATCACAAAATTATGGGAAAAACCAACGTCTGTTATCTCGTAGACATTTGTTTTCGTTTCTTCTTCTTCTTTTTTTTTTTACAGCGAACTGTATGCCATATGTTTGGCTCTTCATTTTTCACAAATAAGTGTCTTATCTTTATTTAGGCCATCCAAAAAAAAAAAAGAGAGATACGGTCCGAAAAAAGTCAATAAGATAATATGCGGTTAGTCTGGATTCGGTACTCGGTAGTTGATTTGGTGATATGGCTGTGAAATGTAACAGTATCATTCTTTCCTTTCAATATTCGTCTCAATGTGGTATTCACTTTTATATAAGATAACGACCATTTTATATGCTTTTAGCGCAGTCAAACAAGTCGTGCGGCATAAAACAGATATTTTGGAATAAAAAATTAATATCAATGAAATTTGGCTAACTTGTTTTTCTATATATCGCCAGTTACAACCTTCAGACGGATGAAATATTAATTTATTGTATTTTCAGAATTTAGAATGTTTTTTAAACGATCTGTCAAATCTGTTAGAATTTCCGGAATGTCCCGCCCTCATTCCAGCTTTTACATGATTCATACATGTACGTGTATCACAATCGTATCTTCTCGGGCCTTGTTTTTACGCTTGTCGGAAAGGCCCGAGAAGCTACGGTTGATTTTCTGCTTGTCGGAAAGGCCGGAGATTTTAAGTTGCGATTGACTTATATCCTAAGCAACTGTTGAGATTTATTCTACAATATAATGTGTCTATTGGTAAAACTTAAAGTAGATGAAAGTGTAAATTCGTTAATTTTGCTCTAGTCCGAAAGATCTGACATTTTCCAGCCTTTTTGGAAAACAGGCACGTCAAATATCAAAATCGTAAACAAAGCCTGGAAAACGTCAGGTATTTCGGACTAATTTTGCTCCTGTATGTACTTTGAACTTCCTTTTCTTTATTTTACAAGGTGTTTTTATCGCCGAGAGTGACGTGGGAGTGGGAACAATTGTTGGATCCGCCGTCTTCAACATCTTATTCATTATAGGAGTTTGTGGACTCTTTGCAGGAATGGTAAGACTCTTATGTGATTTTGGTTGGTGTTCCTGCGTGATTTATTACAAAGGATTTTCAAACCAACATCACTATTATTATTTACTAACATGTATTTGGTTGCATACTGTCAAAGCTGTCAGCTCCATCAAGTAATTTTTTTTCAGCAGGGGAAGCTTTCTCAGTAATAGTATAATTAAAGAAACACATTTACCCGTAAGCTTTTTCTTTATTTTTCTTTGAAAAGCAGACTGAAAATACGTTGCTACGTTTGCCCGATTATGACAAGGAGCACACGATCGACAGGGAATGCTTACTCCTCCGTGGCACCTGATCCCACCCCATGTTTTTAGTGGTCCGGGTTTTCTCTGCTCCAAATTTGTATTGTTTCAATGGACTTTTGAGCTTGAACTGTTTATTATCTTCATATTTTATAAAGATGATTGAATTGGTTCCTTTTGAACTCTTAGACTTATAATGCGAGGCTTTGAACATCATAAACTTATTGCAAAGAACATTGCATTACATTGTATAAAATAAAAGACCTCGCCGTCCCAAATAAACGGGGAATACACTCAATTCATTCAGTCTCTGCAGAAAAAAAGTCGCTTGATAGGGACAATTAACAATCTCAGCTGTTTTCCCCTTTAAATTTTTCATGACAAACACACCTTTTGTCATGGTACATAATGTTTGTATTATACAGACGTTTTAATGTTGGTGACATAAATGTAACCAAGAGCAATTATATAAAATTACGTCTGCTTAAGTTCATTTTAAAACTTGCAGTTGAAAGGAATTCGTATCGTAAATGAGAGAGTTAACAATCTAGAAAGAACGACTCTAATTAGACCAAGGGACGTCCTCATTAACTTGATGAAACAAAAGCAACTCATCGGTTCGTTACTTTTTCACGCTGTTCATTACACCTGAGGTGCGCATTTTGGATGATTTTATTTTTTTTAATTCACAATTCATGATTGACAAAAAAATATAGATTCTAATATAATATGCGTAATATTTAAATATATTGGCCATAGAACGTAGGCCATTATACTATTTTGAGGTATGTAAGTGTTACATGTACATATATACTGGGCTATACTGGAATAGGTCACTGCTATTTTGAGATAGGTCTGGGCTATTCAGAAGTAGGTCTGGGCGATTCTGAGTTAGGTCTGGGCTATTCTGAAGTAGATCAGGGCTATTCTGAGTTAGATCTGGGCTATTCTGAAGTAGTTCTGGGCTATTCTGAGTTGGGTCTTGGCTATTCTGAAGTAGGTCTGGGCTATTCTGAGATAGGTCTGGGCTATTTTGAAGTAGGTCAGGGCTATTCTGAGTTAGGTCTGGGCTATTCTGAGTTAGGTCTGGGCTATTCTGAAGTAGTTCTGGGCTATTCTGAGTTAGGTCTGGGCTATTCTGAAGTAGATCAGGGCTATTCTGAGTTAGATCTGGGCTATTCTGAAGTAGTTCTGGGCTATTCTGAAGTAGTTCTGGGCTATTCTGAGTTAGGCCTGGGCTATTCTGAAGTAGTTCTGGGCTATTTTGGGTTAGGTCTGAGCTATTCTGAAGTAGTTCTGGGCTATTCTGAGTTAGGTCTGGGATATTCTGAAGTAGTTCTGGGCTATTCTGAGGTAGGTCTGGGCTATTCTGAAATAGGCCAGGGCTAAATTTCGCGGTAGGTCAGTGCTATTTTCAAGTTCATCAATGCTTTCTGAAGAAGGTCGGTGCTATTCCGAAGAAGATCAATGCTATATTAAAGTAGGTGTTCTATATTGAAGTAGGTCATGGCTATTCTAAAGTATGTCAGTGCTTGTAATTAAAGACAGCGAATGAAGCATAACTATTTACTTCTCCTGTATATGCAGATGTTACTGTCGTACGGTACATGTGAGCTCTGAAACCTGAGTGACCAGGAAGAGACTTATGATTGATTGATTGTATATCGTTTAACGTCCCATTCGAGAATTTTTCACTCATGTAGAGACGTCACCGTATGCCGGTGAATGGCTTCAAATTTAGACCTATACTCGGCACTCAGGGCCATTGAGCAGTAAGGGTTCTTTATCGTGCCAACGCCTACCGTGACACGGGACCTACGTTTTTAATGTCATATCCGAAAGACCCATGACTTTCACTTCTAATGCTGGGCGCTTGGCGAAAGAACAGTCACTACCTATATTTACGTCTTAGGTTTGACGCGGCGCGGCGAAAGAGAGTCGAACCCGGGCCTCCCGATCTCGAAGCGAACGCCCTACCACTAGGCTACCGTGACCGGTGAGGAAGAGACTTAATAAACCCCCCATATGTCACCAAGATAGACCTAACACAATAAGAATATAACAGTACAGAGTAACTCTGGGCTACAGTACCGGTCAATCGGTCAATAATGTACATCGCTTGATCTACAGTACATGTAAGAATAAATTACCTTCCAATTATTTCTTAATACATATATAGTAATCTGATTAATCATTTGATATCAGTGTAGTCTCGTGTCTTTGTTTCTCCTGTATCGGTTTTGTTTTCCCTGCTGACAGTTACATGGTCCTAGCTCTCGTGACTGAAGATCCCTGCCGATTTCCCTGTCGTCTTTAGACGTCTCCTATTCTTGACCTCTTGTCTGCAGCCAATAAAAGAGGAAAGTCAGGGTTAATGGACCTTCCTTTAGTAATAGCTAGAGAATGTTGTGAAATATGAAATTTCTAAAGGACTTTTAGAGATATCATCTGGACAGCAGAGTGTACATGTACCTTTACATTATGCAGTATTGATTCAAGTTTGTATAAACATATTACAATATCAATGACTCTCTGCAAGTAAGAAACAGGGGTGCTCCTAATATGATCGTAATCGTTTTGGTCAAATATAATTATGTAACATGATACACAGCTGATTTTTATGTGCTCAATTTTTTTCTAACTTCTTAGGAGAATTTTATTCCTCAATTAATGTTTCGGAAAAAAAATATTCCGTAAATATGAATAGTATTAAAAAAAAAAAATTCGTTTGTGTTCATTCTTGTGCTATTTCGTACATAAAAAGCTTGAGGAGTAGTTGTAATGTACGTCTCCAGATCAGTTGTTAAAAAAAGGGGGTTGACTTTATCTAAACTTCCTACAGTATTTCAAGACGACGGCCACTCATCGGAGAGGAATTATCCATGTATTTCCATCAATCGTCATTGATTTGTTTGGCTCAACCTTTGATTTTGATTTATAAAAACTAATTAGAAAATATTGCAAACAGACAAATAAAGAGGAGTGTTTTATTTTAACAAGGGATTACATGCCATGCATATGAAGAAGAAAGCTGTTAAGTAAATAGAAGCAACTGTTTTAATATTCAGGCTATCAGCTCAGTGTATCGAAAATCGATGAATCATTTCTTATTAGTCAAACAGCGAATCAATTAAACAGTTTGCTTTGCCGTAATACACCACTATGCCAATATAGTTTTATGTCAAAATGCAAGGAACTAGCTAATCAAATGTTTGCTTTTATTGTATTTTTAATGTGGTCGATGCCGGTGACCTCCTTGTTCTAACGAGAACAGTTCAAACAAGTCGCATATTTGGCTGAATAAGATGCGTATGGATGATAATCGATAGCTATTGATAGCAAAATAAAAAAAAATTAGAATAATTTAACGATAGCGTTTATCAATTCAAAAAAAAAAGAAAAAAATGACATTATAAATCATGTACCCTTATTCATATGTCCTTTACATTAGTATGCATTGCTTCTGCCGATAAGAAACTGCGGTTTTGCAGAGGAAGAAAACCCCAAGGCTGAGATGTTTTAATTAGTGGAAGGAAATTACACCTACTAAAAAATTCTTTAGAATAGGGTGGATTTTTACCATAACGATTACGATATAGGAGTGTTCGTGTCTGTTCCTTTACGCTCAGATACACGTTTAATTAAATACGATAGTCCTTTTTTCAAAGTTTAGCTACTGCAGGACGATTGTGTGATATAATGAGCTCCTAAATTAATATCTATCTGTTTTTGTGATTTTCTTTCTTCATAAAAATGAAAATAATTAAGACGTGTAGGCTTCAGTGTTCTGTCCAAGGGACCAATTACAAATGATAATATAAATCGGAATTTAACATATACATTTAAAAAAAAAAAAAAAAAAAAAAAAAAAAAGATAAATACACAAGAATTAATTACAATTAAATATACTTAGCTAGGCATAGTGAGTTTTTGAAGATTTATTTCTATTACGTATATAAAATAAATAAAACAGTAATTTAAAGGATTGATATACATTTAACGTTATAAATGAAAATCTTACAGTGTACTACCCGTATAGTTCAATTTGCTAACAGATTGTTATTATAGTTTTATTGAGAAAACACCTTTCTTGAAAATGTTTAAGATTTCTCTACCTTACAATTTTGCAAAAAGGCATATATTCACAGATGACTATATGTGAAAGGACATACATGTATACAACATAGCTTTGAACCTTATTTTCTTATTCCCTGTATATGGTTGAGATTTTAAAATCGAAATTTTACAACACGATAAACGTACGTTGTCCGTCGATGTTGTCGTAAACTTTTACATTTCATCTTTTTCTCCAGAACCATTGGGTTAATTTCAACCAAACTTGGCACAGGGTGTCCTTTGATCATATCCTTTTTGTAGGTTTTCTTTGCTATATCTCCCCATGGAAGAGGGTGTGACCCTTCATTTGAGTAACTTTGACTCCCTTCTAAAAATTTTCTTCTTAATAACTTCTGAGCCAGAAAAGATGGAATTTATGAAATTTAAAACTTCTTGACATAGTGTACATTCAAGTTTGTACAAATCATGACCCCGGGGTAGGGTAGGACCACTACTTCTCGATGCTTAACTGATCCCACAGGAGGGGCAGCATTTCTAGCACTATGACGGATTCCATCGACATAAAGATTTCAGTGTAACAAATCATTACTGTTAAAATAGACAGAAATTAGCTATAAATAATAACGTCTTTTTGCATAAGTTGAGGTCGTTAAAGATTTTTGT